TCTTTAAGGTCCCTTCCAACCCAGACCAGTCCATGATTCTATGAAGAAGCACTGTGCAGATGAAGGAACCCCAGCAGTGAAGGTAGCAGAGACCCTGGGGTAAGGGTGGTAAAATAGTCGCAGGGGATGGAAAATGCTCATAGGTTTGCAAATGTCACTGGCTGCAGTATCAGCATTAACTGGCTCCACCCTGTGCAACCCCAGATAACTCCTGGGAAACCCTGTGATTGCTCCAGCATTTAAAAAAAAAAAAAAAAAAAAAATTTCCAAAATAATAAAAAAAAAAAAAAAAAAAAAAAAAAAAAAAAAAAAGGAACAGGAGCATTTTATCCCAGGACCCCTATGCAGGCACCACCAAAAGTGTCTCTGCCAGGCTCTTGAATGGAAAACTCTGGGTGCAGGTCTGCCTCAGCCTGGCAGCCCCTTGCCCTGCTTTGCCCTGCCCATGCCACCAGCACCTTGTGTGCCTGGTGGGACCAAGCCTTAGAGAAACATTGCTGGGAACCTTGAAGCCTTTCACTTGCAAACAACATTTTGGGGACTGAAGTTAAGTTTAAAAAGCTGATTTTGGCACTCTTTGTGCTGCAAAGAGGCAGTGATAACCACTGCCCCCTCCTCCTCTGAGTTAGCAGAGGAGAGCCTAGGAAATCTCGGCTTTCTTGCACCATGCACATAGTTACTCAGCGTCTCCCTGGGTTTCCTGACCCTGTTTGTCCTGGTCTGGTGAACACAAAAGTCGGCACGTTGGGAGTCACGTTGCTGCTGTACACAGCACACCCAGCAACACACCAACATTGCTCTGCTCCATGTCCTGGGGCACCCAGCTGGTGCAGGAGCCCCATCACATCCAAAAAGATGGTAAGTGGCCTTTCAGCAAAGCTTTTTTTTTTTTTTTTTTTTAAATTAAATATCTTGAAAGTGGCAGGTGAGTATAGCAAAGAGGAAAACTTAAATTTGCAAATTTGCAGCAGTAAATCCCTAGCTAGAGACTAAGAACAATATAGGTCTCTTTCACAGACTTAAAACTATGTATTTTAAATACAATTGTTTACTTATTGTTTAGGGGACAGCTGGGAAAACAAGCAAACAACACATCTGGAAGTGATCTGGGTTTGGTCAGTGAAGGGCACCACAGAAGTTGTGATGTTAAAATATGTCCAGTGTTCACTGTGTATTGTTTGAAAGCCAGCTACATCTCTTTTATTGGGAGGGATTTACAAGTTCATTCAGAATGGGCTTTTGTAAAGAGTTGTGTGGTGGTTTGACTTGGCTGCAGCCAAACTCAGCCACTCGCTCACTCTCCCCTACCAAGGGGACACGGGAGAGAATTGGAGGGGCAAAGTGAAGGAGACTTGTAGGGTGAGATAAGAACAATTTAATCACTGAAATAAAAGAAAACTTAAAATAATAATGATATTCACATAATAATAATAATAGCAATAGAATATGCAAATGAGTGATACCCAGTGCCATTGCTCACCACCCGCCCACCAAGCCCAGCCCATTCCCAGATAACGATCCCAGAGGAGCGACAATCCCGAACCGAAACCACAATCCCAGGAGAGCGAGAGCCCGAGCGAAAGCCAGAGAGAGCAAGAGAGGAAGAGCCCCTCATGAATGTCCTGCCCATGGGGGACAGGAGATGGAACAGCCCATTGGCAGAGCCCAATGCCAACTGAGCTGATTCATTTCAATATTCCTCATCGCCCCCTTAGATCTTGCACTTGCAGACTGACAAAACACAAAGTCCTTCACCCCCAGCGACACAAATGCCAACATGGGGATGTTCTCAGCGTTTCTCTCCTAACAAATCC